CAGTTTTATTATTGCTGTGCATCTTTATTATTATTATTATTTTACGATTATGTATAAAATTGCTGACTTTCCAGTTTTTGAGGTCAGCCTGTGGAGAAGCAACAGGAGCTTATACGCAGCGTCTATGGAGGTTCTCTTTCTCTCTCTACTGTAATTAACTTTTTATATATTTTTTCTGCAATTTTTAAATATTTTTTTAACGATTATCATAGCTTCACAATTTGTTGGATGGTTTTCTGTTCACCACTCTACTTCAAATTAGGGTTTCATGTTTGATTTTCTTTTATCTAGTGTTATCCAGCAGAGCTGAGAATGTGAGCAATTTCGTGGATGCTGAGTCTATTTTCGGCCCGGTATTTTAGCTAATTTTTCCCTCGAATTCTCAAATCCTCCATGTTTATTATGCTTCTGTATGATCTGAATTGGAAAAGAACAAATAAACAGTCCTGTTCTATTCGGCATGATTATAGGCTGTTCTTCTATATGAACCATTTCCTTTCTGGTGCAGGATACTCGCCTTGTGTACAAGCACTTTGCAACTTTGTACTTTGTCTTTGTATTTGATAGCTCTGAAAACGAGCTTGCCATGCTCGACCTCATACAAGGTACATAGCATAACCGGATTATATGTAGCTGGCACTGAATGCAAATGTTCAAATTTACAACATGCAGCACCTTTGACAAGTAGAGCGTTCACAAATTGGTTGCTTGCAAATTTGCAATTTTAACTTCAAATTAGTAGAATTGGGAAAGCTTTTTATGGTTGGAATTTTGATGAATTTTAAAGGGATGCTTATTGGGAATTTAAAATGCCAAAGTGAAATTTAGGGTGGAAATTTTCATGCCAGCAGGCTGAATATGAGAGTGATTAGCTTATTTCTTAGTGTTAATGCTTGTGCTTAATTATATCAATTTTTGCTTTGATGGGATGATTTGATTACTTCAATTCTCATTCCTACAGTTTTTGTGGAAACCTTGGACAAATGCTTCAAAAATGTGTGCGAGCTTGACGTCGTGCTCAATTACAGCAAGGTTGTACATTCCCCCATTTGCATAATGCCTGACAAATGTGAAATTCCTAAAAATAATAAACAGTATTAGCTTTCATCACGAACTTAATAAACATTATTTGTGATTGGACTATGTTGCATACAACAGTGGGTATTTAGTGTTTTTAGGAGATGGTGGTGAGAAAAATGCTCATGGTGTATCTTATGTTTCAAAGTATTGCTTGTTGGATTTGTGAAACCATTTCCGTTGCATGTTTAGACTTCCAATGAACTATGCTTCAATTAGGTTTTTTTTTCTCTTCTTGTTTTTCAGATGCATACAGTAATGGATGAGATCATTTTTGGAGGGCAAGTGCTGGAAACAAGTTCAACTGAAGTTATGAAAGCCGTTGAAGAAATCTCAAAGTACTCTCTCCCAACTCCTCTCACCTTCTTCCCTCCCCTTGTGTCTGAGTGATCTTTTTTTTTTTTGGGGTGGGACGTGATGTCTGCTTGCCTATTATTGCATTGGAATACTAAACATATGGTGTTCACTTTTAATGCAGGTTAGAAACAGCCTCAAATGCCATCTCACTGGTCCCAAAATCTGTTTCTGCCTGGCGGAGCCGATAGTATGCAGTTTTGAGTGATTTGTTATCAGAACCTCCAAGTTTCTCTGATAGGAGTTTGTGAAGATTTTGGATGCTTAATGGAAGGCAATTTTAATAGAGAATTTCCATAATTTTAATGAAAATTGTGATCCTCAAAACCCCTCGCCATCCTTGTAAATCATCAAGCGAATGACCTTGAGACACCTTTTGTATTGTTATTTTATTAACCATGATTATTATTTTATTTTATTGGTAAATAACCATGATTATTATGGAGGCCAAATTGGTAAATAACCATGATTATTATTTTATTTTATTTTATTTTATTTTATTCACTTTTGTATTCTGAATGAAAGGAAAAAAAACCCCAAATAAAAACAGAAGATACAAGATACAAGTAAAAAAGTGGTTGTGTGCCCGTAAATTTCAGCCCACATCCAACGGCAAATGAAAGTTGAACCGTCAGATTAACATCGATTGTAAGTAGGTAACATTCCGAAAATCATTTCAAAGGCTTGTTAACATCTTCAAGAGCCACACGCGCAGCATTACGCCCGGGTGCACCCATCACACCACCTCCCGGGTGGGTACCACTGCCACACAAATACAGCCCGTGCAATGGTGTTCTGTAATTTGACCTGTATATATGCACCCCAAAATAACATAAACATAACGTAGATTTTGGTAGCTCCACACACTCACACAAGTAAACATAAGGCATAGCTATAATAGAAAGTACATGTCCCACGCAAAATCAGATGTGTCAGTAAAATTTACCATCCTTTAACGGGTCGCATGAGGAAGAGCGAATCCAATCCCATAGCACCATGGAAGATATTCCCTCCTGTCAAGAATAATTTAAGAATCAGGAGACTGGGAGATTTAGATGTTGCAGTCAAGTTTGATGTACTTTTAAGTTTTTACACTTGCTACATCTTGAGTTGGGTGAACTATGTGCTCCTTAAACATTTATGCCATTCATAATGCACTATGCCGGCCTCTGTGTTTCCGTGGGCATATTGTGCTGTCATATCAGTTTCGGTTTGTAAATTAAAATATTACAAAATTTAGTACAACCAGTTATCAAGTTCAAGCTTCTTTGACAAACTTCCTATCTCCGTGTATTGTGATGATGATCAATGGCTGGTATTTCTGCCAGTATCCTTGTATCATTTACTGTAAACTTAAATAACCTGAACATGCTGCCTACATTTGTGCAGAGGTTTGAAGTACCTGTTAAACCAATTTCCCTCTCAAGGTCTGGTGGAGTCAACATGTCATAACCAATGATTGATGAACTGAACCCCGGGGCATACTCATCAATCAAGTTAAAACATTTTTGTGCGAATGATTCCTGCAAAGGATGCCATGCCGTTTTCAAAGGATTAGTCAGAGAAAAGAAGTGAGAATGCACACCATGTGGAATGAAATATATGACGTACGTAGGGAAACTCACTCTGTAAACAGGATCTCCCCAGTGACCATCTGATGGACTATATGGTGTGTACTGAATAAACAAGTTGATCACGTGCTTACCTAAAAAGAATTTGATTATATCGATATGGGCAGATAAAAATATGTATCAAGAGGAATGAAATATATGACGCATTCTTTAAGGCAATGTAATTTTTAAGTACCAGGTGGAGATATAGTATTGTCCAGTACAGAAGGTATTGTCATCTCAATAACTGGTCTTTGAGACGGTAATCCATTGACAGCATCTTGACAGGCAGAGTGAATCTCCTCCATACTTTAAGAGTGACAGAAAAGATAAGAGAAAGCACAGCATGTGGAACCACGTAAATGATAATGCTGAGATAAGAGCATACCTCTCAGAACCAATATGAATGGTCCCCACATGCTGAGGACCTGCATCAGGATGACTTAATTTGCAACATTTGAACTGAGGCAATCTATCAACTGCTAAATTTATTTTTGTCGTTCCCTACAGATAAGCAATCTCTCAATTAGCATGAAAGAAGTCTCTGTCCTCTCATTTGTGATAGTCAGATGACTAGAACTCATGATGCCTACCATAGTCACACTTGCAGTACAATAGTCAAATCAATTTTTTACAACTTTGTATGAATTTTAATTCTAAATCTAAAATCACAACTGATGAGCACACACTTTTGATCGCATGCTTCCTTGTTTTAAATTAACATTTTCATCAGGATGATATAAATCCACAAATTTAATTTTGGTCACAAATAGTAATGAAAGGGACAGAAGTTAGAACCAATACCGACCATTCCTAAGAGATTGTGTATGGAACATTAGTCAACCGAACAAAATTGAAAAATCAGCTGAAGATAATAGATTGTCTCACACCTTCTCGGATTGTAATAAATCACATTTCTTATCCATTTAATCCAATCTTCTATATGTTCTTACATTGCATGATAGTAAATATTTAATATTGTCAAATAAAGGTACTAAAGTAAAGATTATAGTTTGCATAAACATCAGAGGAAAGTAATAGAGGAAACTTACAGAGCTGTAATCAGAGTACTTAATTGCATTAATGAAATCATCAGGAAGAACATTATCCGGCACCAACTCCTGCGTCAGATAATAGAAACCTATAATCAAGATTAAAATCCATTTAAATAGCTAGTCCAAAGGTTTCACATAAATGTGAATCCCATCTATTTCGTAAAATATAATTTGTCTCAGTAAATTTAAAGTAGATTTAAATTATATATCCAAGGGAAGAACCTTGAATGTTTTATAAGGGGTTGCATTTGATAAAACCATTGAAGTGTGCACTTGTGAACCATCAGCCAGCAAAACCTAGAATAAGACATGTCCACAATGTCCATTCAGTTTGATTTAAGTTTCAAAACCGCCTCATTTAGGAAAGCAAGAAGAAACTAACCCCGTTGACCGTGCCAGAGTCATTAATCAACAATTGTTGCACCTAAACAACAAAACTGAAATATTAAAGGTAGCAACAGATCATTGCATAATGTACAAAGGCAAACAGCCAAACAATGTAAAAGAAGTGAATGAAGAAAAAAGTTTGAGAACTGGAGCATCAACTAATCCTAGCTCTTTTCTGTACTAAAATACCTCTGCACATGTTACAATATGAGCTCCAGCTTCCTTAGCAGCATTACTGATAGCCAAGGATACTGAACCCATCCCACCTTCAACATACCTATAAGGAAAATTGGTTTTTCAATACTAAGAGAAAGCATAAATTGGGATTAATCAAAATTGTATCAAATGAAAATTACAAGCTAAAGGTATTAAAATATGAACGTTGGCATGAAAAGAACAATCCAATGCATTTATCCAAGTCTAATGAAAAACTAATTTTGAAAAATAGTGGGGAGAGATATGTGAAGCAAGCAAAAGAGAACTTACGACCAAATTCCATGCTCACCATCAGTTTCTCCCATCACATGATGTAGCAGGACATATCCACTCCCTGGTGTATGGACACTTCCCTACGTAAGAAAATAGAGGCGTCAAAATGATTAACAATGCGGATGATATAGTGGGAAATGTATATTGTATAATCAATCTATTATGAACCCTGAAATGAAATAATTTCCCACAATATCAATGTCCTCTCGAGAAAAGTAATAAGGCACAGATGCATAGTACTTCTTAGGTAGAGTGTGTGTGCTATTGATGAGAAAAAAAATAGAAAACACAATGTCCACTATGTATGCCATCTGGAGGTGTTTAAATATTTGAAGAAATGCATCTCCACACCATTCATGAGAACTCTTACCGTGGTTCCTATTACAGCATCTGTTGCAAGGGTTGCCTTCAGAACATCTGACTGTAAAAAGCAGAGTCAACAACAGAGAAGCTAAAAAACTATTATGCATAAAACTGCACAAGATTTGAACTGATCACCATTGATAACAATTATGCAGAATTAAATATATATAATTCCCATTTTAATTAAAATCTTGTTGTCAGTGATCCTAGATAGAGAGGACTTGATCACCTCAAACCAGTTGTTCAAAACCTTTGAAGCCGGAGATAATAAAAGGTCCATAAAATCCCTGCCAAAGCCAATAATTACATAATCATAAACCTAAAATCTGTATCAGGAAACTAATTAGCCGTACCATAACCATAGCAAGCATGCTGTTTGTAGCTGACATTATTAGGAAAATGAATTCTTACACCATATCTTTTTGGCCTAAGGTGGCAGCCTGTCTCAGACACCGAGCCCAAAACATTGAATTGTGCATCTTATTCTTGATGCGGTCACCAACACTACAAGATGACTCACATTGCAAAGATTCAGGAGGAGCCGAATCCAACAAGGGGTCCATAAATTCACAAAACTTCTCCAGCTGATTCTCATATCTGTAAAATTAACTATTCAAACCCAAACAGACATGGAATACTGAATACGAAATACGGATAGAATAAGGATAACCTTGGATAAGCATCGGCGTCTTGTTTGGAGAACTTGGAAATCTCAGAGTGGTTTAAGTCCTTGTTTGGCCCCAAAAGAAGATATTTTCCATCCAAACAAGGCGTGAACGACGAAGGGCTCCTCTTCAGCAACTTCATTCCATGCCGCGCCAGCTCTAGTTCTCTGTTAGAAGCATAACATAAGGCATTGTTGTTTCGTTGAAAATTAAATTATTCAAATTTGCATTTTATTAAGCAAATGCATAAACAAATAAATAAATAAATGAAGAAATGTGTTTATGTGTGTTACTTGATGATGGAGGGGCGGAGGAGGCTTTGGAGGTAGCTACACCGAGAGAACTTGAAGCCGGGAACGAGTTCTTCGGTTACGGCGGCGCCGCCGATCACGTGACGCCGTTCAAGGACAGCGACGGATAGGCCGCCACGTGCGAGGTACGCGGCCGCCGCGAGGCCGTTGTGGCCACCACCAATGACCAGAGCGTCCCATTTCTTGTCCTTCAACGCGCTTGTAGCGCCTACGCTGCTGCCGCTGCTGAAGCTCCTTCGCCACATTTCTTCTCTGCTGGTTTTTGCTGCTTACCAGTTAGTGTTAGTGCTTTGCTTTACACGCAACAATAAGGCGATTGCGGTGGGGCCCTGTTAATTTTTGTGTTTTTTTTCCTTTGCAAGTACCTATAATTGACGAACTTAGAGAGTTGACACATGGGGAGACGAGAAAGGTCAAAGGTGACACGTGGATTTGAGGGGCAAGCCCCTGCGCAACGACACTGTTTGGCTCCTTATTTGGAAGAATAATTACAAAATGAAATGATTCTGCACATACGTCAAACTGTGGTTTATCTGTAAGACATATAGTGTTTTGCTGTGATAAGTCTTAATCAATGATGTAGTGTGGACCCTATGTATTAACAGTAAAAAATCACTCACATACGCGTCAACATTTGACAGTATGAGCAAATGTAATATCCAAGGAAAGCCTGTCACATTTTGACACAAACCTGATCAGGGATCGCATGCCGTACATGATATAACTGGGTCGGCTAGTACATACAACTACAATGTGATGTTTAATTACATTTTTCTCAGGCTTTGCTACTGTATACACTTTACCCCCAAAAGAAAATTACTATATACACCAGCAGCAAAGCAACAATAGTTGGACAAGTAAGGGTGGTGATTCTAGTGAAGGATGGGGATATAATTAAGGGCAAAAAGAAACGAGTCTCCTAATGAGATCGCTTCTGAACATCCTCAAGAACGACGTGTGCAGCATTACGCCCAGGAGCTCCCATCACACCACCTCCTGGATGGGATCCACTTCCACACATGTACAGTCCTCTCACCGGTGTTCGATGGCCGGACCTGTATAAAAAAAGAAAACACAATCTTGGCGTTAGGAGAGTAGCAGATGGAAAATAACTATTTCTGAGTTGCTGTCAAAGTTACCATCCTTTAAGAGGTCGCATTAGGAAAAGTGAATCTAGACCCATAGCACCATGAAAAACATTACCCCCTGTTGCAAATATTCTAAAATCAGTACATTTAAACATTCTGAACTGAAAAATATATTAAACCATGATTCTATAATTCCCATGGTCTGCTGTAGTATGAATGCATGATTTCAAGCCTCAGTAAGCATGGGATAGGAATCTGCATCTGTGCGGTGAAATACCTGTAAGACCAATTTCCCTTTCTAGATCCGGTGGTGCCAACATGTCATAGCCAATGACTGATGAACTGAACCCAGGGGCATATTCATCAATCAAGTTAAAACATCTGCGTGCATATGATTCCTGCAGAGACAGATATCAGCATATCTCGGGTAAATTGGACAAATCATGTGTGCAGTGTGTGTATATACATGCAACCGGAATGGTAATTGCAACTCAACTCTGTATTTAGGATCTCCCCAGCTACCATCTGAGGGTTTGTAGGGTGTGTATTGTGTAAACAAGCTAACCACATGTTTACCTACAAGAGAAGGCAAAGGAAGACAAGTATAAAAATGAGTCTCACTGCTATGTGTAAATGGACAAAGGCGTAAGGAAGATTAGTTTCATCGTACCAGGAGGAGATATAGTGTTATCCAATGAAGAAGGAATTGTCATTTCCATAACAGGTCTCCTTGATGGTAAGCCATTCCAAGCCTCCTGACAAGCTGTACCAATTTCCCCCATACTGTAATATTAACAAAGATGACATAATTATGTGTA